GAGAGAGAGAGAGAGAGAGAGAGAGAGAGAGTATGCTATGTGTGTGAGTAATACTGAGTATGCAATGTTCCAAGCGCTCAGTGTAAGGATGGAGTATGACTGCTCGCTCTGTCTCGTTTCAAGTCGGTGAATGTGTGGACTAGTCTTCCTGCGTCATTCCCGCCAAGGGATGACAACGTATGGGGTGAACTGTGCAGCAGGAGTGCCGTTTTGACTACTTGTAGAGAGTTTTGTTATAAGAAATGTTCCTTCTGCGCAACCAGGATTGAACAGCGCTGGATGCGGATGATGCCCAAAGGCTGCACTCGCATGAGCCTGCCTGTGTATGGGCACAGTCCACCCAACCAGCATCTGTTTCCAAAGTGTTAGAAGTGTTACGCTGTTGTGCCAGGTCCGTGCCATGTCGGAACGCCAGTTGTAAATTTCTCTCGGAGTTTGTGGGAGAGTCGAGGGAAGGGGTTGTAGTGCAGTCGTGGCGGTAAGGGTGAGGAGAGATGGTGACTACCGACGTTGATTAGGGGACCCCAGGGGGAGGAGGAGGAGGAGGAGGAGGAGGAGGAGGAGGAGGAGGAGGAGGAGGAACAGGAGGAGGAGAAGAGGGAATGGCAGGTTGAAAACGCTTTTGGAGTTTGTGGGAGAGTGGAGGGAAAGGGCAGGAGTGCGGTGGTGATGGTAAGGGTGAGGAGAGATAGTGACCAGCGACGTTGATTAAAGGAGGCTGAGGAGGAGGAGGAGGAGGATGAGGAGGAGGAGGAACAGGAGGAGGAGAAGAGGGGATGGCAGGTTGAAAACACTTTTGGAGTTTGTGGGAGAGTGGAGGGAAGGGGCAGGAGTGCGGTGGGGAGCATAAGGGTGACGAAAGATGGTGAACAGCGACGTTGATTAGAGGAGGCCGAGGAGGAGGAGGAGGAGGAATGGCAGGTTTAAATCTCTTTTGGGGTTTTTGTGGGAGAGTGGAGGGAAGTGACTGGAGTGCGGTTGTGATAGTAAGGTTGATGAGAGATGGTGACTACCGAAGTTGATTAGAGGAGGAGGAGGAGGAGACGAAGAAGAGCACAACAATGTCCAGAGCAGATGGCATTTGCAGGTCAACCTGTATGCGTATCGGTGCCGTGGCGGTGCAATTGTATGCATATCGGTGCCTTGGCGGTGCAATGCTAAGTGCAGCGTATCGCATTCCATGTGAGAGCGGAACATCTGATGCTGGCACATTTGTTTGTTGTTGTGGTTGTGGTTGTGGTTGTTGTGTGATTCGGGAATGCGGTGGCGGTTGGATTTTGTGAATTTGAAACATGACGATGGTTGCACATGACGACGTGCCAGGGACTTGCTTCCGACGAGGCCAGACTTGCGCTTGGTGAGTTATATGGAATGGCAGCCCTCAATGCTCGTAGTTGTTGCTAGAACTGCTTTGAGCCTGCAGGCTGCAGCCCAAAAATATGCGAATGTCTCCACAAAAAAAAAAAAAAAACAGAAAAAAAAGGAAAAGGGAAGAAAAATTAGAAAAAAATGGTTACGGAATCCTAAACCCGAAACCCTCAACCCTGAACGATAAATCCCTAAACCCCCAACCACGAAACCATAAACCCTAAACCATGTTGCCTAAACCCCGAACGTTAATCCACCAAAGTTGGCCGGGGCTAAGTCGACCTCTTAACGGTTTACATAGTAAGAGGGGGGGGGGGGGGGGGGGGGGGGGGGGGGGGGGGGGGGGCGGTTCGGGAGGGGAGCATTAGAAAGCAAAAAAAATTGTTGTGGATCATGAGAAAATAATAAAAAATTCATGCCCCAGCAAATGCATATTTCAATCAAAGCCTGTGTGATCTAGTTGGAGTGATGTTTCTGGTTGGGCAGGCTGGGAGGGAGAGGGAGGTGGGGGAGGGTTGTTCATACAAGTAGGCTCGTGGAACTGGTGTTTTTTTTAACCCCTAAACCCTAACCTGTAACCCATCGGCATCACGTACTAGTAGAATGAAGACTACCGTCTTCCCCCGAACACAACGCACCCTCATTATCAATGTACACAAGTGATCTTTCAAGTCCGATGCAGTCATAATGAGGGTGTGCTGTGTTTGGGGGAAGACGATAGTACAATTGTACTATGTTTCTGGTTCTCATCAATATATGTGTTATGAACTTGGTTGTCTGACGATTTTTACCGCCACTCACACACTGACAGTCTCATACACGCCCATACATGCATAAGAGAAGGGGGAGAGGAGACAGAGTCCAAACTGCACACAGATCAGAGTAGATAGCGGAAGCACAGCCATGCACAGATGGGGAGAGGACACACAGTGTTTCTCACTCTCTGACGATACTCCCAACAACCACACACACTGATGATGAGCCAATTAACCAGAAATCGTTACAGAGTTTGTTCCAGTGTCTCGCCACTCTCAGAACCTCACACTCCACTCTCTACCCTACACCCAGTTAGTAGCGCCCCATGAGAATGGCCTCCCAGAGGCCAGCGCCAACCACCCAGATGAAGAACAGATCCTGAGATGAAGTCCTCAGTGCCGCTGAACAACTCTGACGAAGAACCGGCAGCTATGGCTGCCGCCACCCACAAGGACTCCGTGAAGAATCTCCACACAGCCCAGCCAATTGCAGAAACCCACAGGGGCTGATGCGCAGGGGATGCCCCAGCTATGGCAAGCCCTCAACAGGCTGGCTACGGCTGCTGTCCACGGTGAGGGTCTCAGGGTACCGCCTGTAGACAATCGCCGCTCCAAAAGTCTCCTGGCTCCAAACGCTGTATCGCAAAAATGAACTGCCAAAAGTCTCAACCCGATTCCCCCAAACTATTAATAGACTCTACTACTCTAGCCTAGACCTAGACCGGACTGACTGACCGACCGGTACCATTTCTGTTTTGGCCTCTCGGCCTCTACCGGACCCGGCTATAGGCTATAGGACCCTCTATCAGCTTAGGCCCTTAGGGCCTGTCTGTCCTAGGGGTAGCCCGGGCCTGCTAAACGCAGTGAAGGCAGCTGTAGGAAATTCGAAGTACTGCTGGGCCTATTTTCCCATATTTGCAGATATGTCCCTCCCGAGTTTTCCTTACAGGTAGGTCTCTCGGTTAGCCCTCAGCCAAACAAAATTACAAATCTAACCTACTGCTGTACTGTACAGCCTCGCGGTTAGTCTCGGCAGTCGATCTGGTATTTTTTTAAGCCCCTAAACCCTAACCTGTAACCCATTGGCATCACGTACTAGTAGCATGAAGACTACCGTCTTCCCCCGAACACAACGCACCCTTGTTATCAATGTACACAAGCGATCTTTCAAGTCCGATGCAGTCATAATGAGGGTGTGCTGTGTTTGGGGGAAGACGATAGTACAGTTCTACTATGTTTCTGGTTCTCATCAATATATGTGTTGTGCGGAGTCTGTCCATGCACGTTATGAGAATGGCGAGAGCGCCCCGAATAGCCCTTAGAGGATGGATGGAAATATGGGGATCAAGGATTTCCTGGATTTTGTGTTAGTCTTCAGCGCATTGGTATTGTGCCTGGCGACCGTCTTCTCATGGACTGTTTGGAGGCATAGATTTGTGTGCGGAGAGAAAAATGCTCATCTGGTAGATCGCAGTTGTGCTTCATTGGCGCTCCGCTGCCAGCAAAGTGTAGCAAACCCTACATGCAAGGGAATGCTGTCCAGAAAATTGTGCATATACGGCGCTCATGCCCACCCGCACGGTCCAGTGCACGGCATGTGCGGCACACAGGGGAAATTGGCATGCAGAGAAAGAAGGGGTTGCAGGCCTGGATCACTGGTCACCTGCGTCCCCTGTGAAAAATTGTTGTGGGGTGGAAAAAGCAATGAAGAACCCTAGTGGGAGACTCGCGTCACCACCTGACGGTCAGGACTGACGTCCCAAACACCTATTCGAGGCTTTTTTTTAATTATTTTTTTATTTGAGGCTTTTTCGCATGCCCAAGTGGACAAATAGGAAAAATCTGTACGACTGTACTGGGAAAGGATCTGTTTAACAAAAAAAAAAGAAAAAAAGAAAAAGAAAAAGATCTGTTCCTTAGGGGGTGCACTCTTCTGTATCTATGAAACAGCAAAAAAAGAAAAGAAGAGAAAGAGGCTGCTGCTGGTACTGCGCACGGGCAGGTTTTTTAAATTTGATAAGTTGTGTAGTTCTGTGTATCCTTACTTGCAAACTCATTCAACACTCTACATGCATTTGGACGCTTTTCTGGACTAGGTGCATTTGGACAAGTCCAACATTTTGAATGTATCAAGTCCAGAAAGCGTTCAAATGCGTGTAGAGTGTTGGGTAGCGGAGCGAGGCCCATACTGTTTCTGTAAGTGTGGGGTCAGCTAAACCACCACTACCATCCTACATGACATGCGAATTACATTGGGCCCAATATGGGGTTTGGCAGGGCCCGAACCCCTTCGGGAACGGGCCCTGTACTACCCCTCCGCGAACGACTGAACGTTCTGGGCTTGGCCCGGGGCTCTCCGAACATCGGGTTCGGTAACCCTGGCAGGCGATTCTTTCTGTGGTAATGACCCTCATTGCCTCGGCAGGTCGGCTTGGGACTACCGTCTTCACCCGAATATAACACCCAGGTGTCTCTTCAACTTACCCTAAAAGATGCCCCCTCAACTATAACACCCAGTTATATTCAAATAGGATGCCCGCCGCCGGGCTATATATTTGAATGTGGCATGGGTAGAATGCCTTGAAAGAGGGGAGAGGGGTGTTTCTTCAACTTACC